GGGTGAATTAAGCATTTAGAGAGACATTCGAAAGAAAATCGACAAGCAATTTCAGTTTTTACTGGACAGAATAATTTTAAGTATTTTACAGTCCTTTAATTTATATTTTCTGAAAGCTAAAGATATAAATAGTTGTCTGAAATAACACCAAAACCAATTTCCTATTGGAACAAGAGAAAATAAATTTCAACATTCTGAGAAATTGTGCAAACACAGGTAAAATTTTATCATCAGTTTAATTTCACCAATACTTATAAAAATTCAAGTGTTTCGTACGAAGTTCAACATTTTTTTTCGACGTTTGGGGTTGCTAGAAATGATTTTTTTCTAGCAGATATTTAAAACAGTTGTACAGAAGTTTGCAATACAATGTAAATAATCTTGGTACAAAGTTTTAGTCCACTTGTTACTCTTACAATGTACTAACTTTTGGTGGATTCCGCCTTAATTTTTAGTCCGTTCACTAACCTAAATTTTGCATGGAAGGCTAATAATGCAACCTACAAGTTTCCGAAACATTTATAATAAATGTACTTTTAACCATTCGAGTGCTATCTTTATCAGAAAAATGGTTACCTCATGACACAACTCTGACCCATGACCAATGACTGGTTTACACACTGAAACAGAAATGTATGTTATACCATGAAATTTCTATTGCATGAAATTTCTGTAGCATGATATATAGTTGACTCAGGCTGCACTCTCGTCAAATATCACGCAAAATCTTGAAATCACAATCTAATTGCTTAATAGAAACATGATTTTAACCCAATCAGTGTGCATATTTTCTTTGGGCTATTCTCTAAATGCAATAAAGAGAATGTTGTTTAGATCAACCCTGGCCTTATTCCAGTCTTAAATTTATGGAACTGTATTTGAAACCAGCAGCAAAATAAAGAATAAATAAAGAATGGTCGTACACTTACTCATTGGGAATAAAACACCAGCATTTTCAATTTTCATCAAGTTTTTTTTATAATCCAGCTCATCAATTTGCACAAAATTAGGGATGAAGACTCTTACTCCTGAAAATAATTAATGTTACGATTATTTTAATTTGACAATTTGCATAGCCAGAGTTGTAGCATTGCAATGACGGGCCCAGTCTTTCCTAATGCAAAGTGTCATGCCTTAAGCTCTTACAGCAACAAGTTCTTCTCAGGAGCATCATTTGTACTAGTATGCGGGGGAGACGCGGGTTCAAATCCTGCTCAGGACTTGACGTTTTTCTTTCTTTTCAGAGATGTATGTCAAAAACTGCCTGTAATATATTTACATCTATCTATCAATTAGGATCATTTGGTTCTGGTGAATAACTGAGTTGACCTATCAACAGACTAGCGAGCAACTAAAGATTTGTAACTAGAGACCTATCCAGAGGGAGTGAAGAGGTGACTGTAATGTTTTCTTTGTTAATACATGCTAGCAAAACTTGAGTTTTAGTACTGACATGTGAGAAAGATTCACTAAATTGCATGCTTTAGGTGCTAGAAGTCTGAAATGCATACCACCCACTTTCTAATAATGTCTAATGAACTTGCTTCATGTTACATTCATCAGCCACTTTCATACAAACCTTCCTCCAGAATTTCACATTCCTTCATGATCTGGTAACTCGTTGTTCTGTCAAATAACTTATGTACAGATTCAATTGGATCAATGATGATGACTTCTGGGTGATCTTTGATGTACATCTGAAATCATTAAAAATGTTGCAGTAACATGTATGCAAAAAGCTAATGTATAGGTTGGCTTTTTCTATGATGTTGTTTCTTTGTTGTAATTTTTTTGGATGTCTAAAATACATTAAACTTATTTATTTCACCAGGCTTTTTATTCTTAGTCTTCTTTGTTGGCTTTAACCTTCTTTTATCCTCTATCTTTTTTAATTAGCTTCTACCTCATGCTATAGACTTTTTTATATTTTTGATTTCAGGATCAAAATTGATGTACATGCAGCACCTTGGATCTTAAATTACCGATATGTGCAGTGTATAAGTTCATGATATTGTTCAGTCAATTGCATTATTGTGTATGAAATACTTATATATAAATACTACAAACAAACACAAATCATATTACTTCCAGTTCCTTCATTGTTTTTAAGGCCTGTGAATCTCCATCAGTGGCTGCTGCCATGTAGTCTGTTATCTTGTGTATTATAAGGTCAAAGGGACCTTGTTCTTTTAGTGGCTTCTCAAGGTCAACCTGCCATGGATAAAATGAAATTTGTCAGGTGATAAGTGACACTGAACTTTAAAATGCATTTCACTGTATACATACACTCAGGTTGAGGATAGATGTTGTATAAAAGAGATGCAATAAAAGTATAAAGCTATCTAGCACAACAAGGTATATCCATGACAAGTATAAGTGATTGTAAGAATGCAAGTGCAAATAAGGGTTTTCAAATATTACGAATAGTGCAAGTCTTTTTTACATTTAACTTCTCTCATTTGCATTGCAATATATTCTAGCATGCATGTGAGGCAATCAAAAGGTGTTGAACCTTTTTTTTTTAATTCTTAATTTTTTTTTTTTTGAAACTTTATCTGAATGTTTCCTACCATGCACTGTTTTGGAAGATACAATAAAAAAGATAGGTCACCATGCTCACAAAAGAGATATGATGGGCCATTCTTACCCCATTTATGCTTAATCATGTGCGTTATTTCAAATTCATCAGTTCACGTTACATTTGTAGTAGCTGAATGCAAAGGTTTTTTTAAAGAAATACCTTATAAAAAAACTTGATAGGTAGAAAGTCTCAAGCACATGAAGCAATGAACTATAAAACACTTCTCAAGTCATAGTTTTTAAGGTCATAATTTGCATTCTCATGCAAGGGCTTCATGTATGCTTTTAGCTATATCTTTTCCTTTTGAACAATTYTTTTTTTTAATTTTTTTAACTTGAAGGGGTAATTTGTCGACCAAAATTATGAAGACCAAAATTATGAAGTACAAAATATAGGTCACCGTGCTCATATAAGAGACTGACAAACATTTATTTCTCTGTTGAGCTTAGCTTCGTTTGATGTTGTATATGTGCAAGTGTCCAAGTGCGTGTGCTAATGATGCAAAAATGGTGTGCTGTAGGGATGCGCAATGCAATTCTGGGGAATCACCTTAAGCGCAGATTAAGTCAAGCCATGGTTTCACCAATTGAAGTTTCTTCGTCATCTTTATACTGATGAATACAGGTAGGCATTTCTGAATCGACCTCTCCTAAGTATGAATATGCTCTCTACATGACCTTTATCAGAGAAATATATTCAAGTTGTTTCACTTTAAT